CCCCCTCCCGTGACATCACGCTCCAAAGCCCCATGAAGCCACCATGCTTACCATTTGCCAAAAGACAAGCCGTCTGACGTCTGCTTGTCCAAAATGTAGCTTCACATAATATAATGATAATAATGGGGAAAAAAACATATGACAAAAGAGGCTTCATGTCATTGACCTGCCCTTAGAATTTCTTTACAGTTTCTATGTAATACAATAAATAGCACTCTGCTGACTTGTCTTGGGTTTACCCTGGCTCTTGACAGCTGACAAACAGCTCAAATACCCCCGATGTTTAATCAAGAACTGATTTAAAAATCTGCCTTTTCATGTGTATGAATGATTACAATGTTTTTCAATCATAAAATATTTGCTCTGGCAGTGAAAGCTTACTGAACCTGAACCATCCTTATGTTAGGCTCCCGAGACAGTTTTGCACTAAACATGTGGTTGTGTACTCTCTCTGATAGTTTTTTTCTACTTCTCACCACACTACACATCTGGCCAAAGGTCTGATCAGTTTATGCAATTGCAAGGTGTATATCCACATATCAGCCACAAGTCACAAGAATTTCTACTTCTACAGTGCTGGTCAGAGTTTGATCAAACTTGTACACAATTGTCACCTAATGGATCTTGACACACGCTGTGCTGTTTTATTTATTTATTTATTTTTCACCTTACCTTTTAACTGATCTGTGCAGATATCTGCCCTTTTATGAACCTGATCTGCTAGATATTTCTTTCTGCTAAAAGGGAGATCTTCCTCCACAATGCCAAATCTTTGCTCATAAAAGCGTAGTCTAATACCTGGAAGTCTCTAATATTTTAATGTTGTTACCATCACAATTTGTGTTTTTTGGTTTTCTCCGTTTGTTTTTTATTTTATTTTATTTGATGTATAGCTTTACCTGTCTGGTTATTTCAGAAAGTCAATGGGGTTCTGGAGAGCCCAACAGGCACAGGTAAGACTTTGTGCCTGCTGTGTGCCACCCTGGCCTGGAGGGAGAACTTCAAGGACACCATGTCTACCTGTATGATGGCAGAGAGGCTGGGCCAGGAGATGTTTCCAAACACACCTATGTCTTCCTGGGGGACAGCTGACGGTGACAAACCATGTATGTTTGTATCATCTGCAAATCAAGAGTCATTTGTAATTTTACTTGTCAAAGAAGAATAACAGATACATATACAAAAACGCAAAGGATATAAGCTACAAAGACATGCTGTGTGCTTACATCGCTATGCAATACAAAATGAGCTAGCACTGATTTCTTTATATTTTGATAAATGGTAAATTGACTGCTTCTATAGTGCTTTTCTACTCTTTTTGAGCACTCAAACCACTTTATATTTTGTTAGGAAAATAGGATTTAACGATTCACTCAAACATGTAATGTTTCCAAACATACATGGAAATATTCTACATATTTCAAGACAGCATTTGTACTACTCTAACAAGGTTGTAAGTCAATATTTGGTAGGATGTCCTTCTTCCATTCCCTGTCAAGATGGGTTGTCATCCCCATGTTTCAGCTATGCATTCAAATCGTACAAAGAATGGTTGAGATGTAGGAGGCTGCTCAGCTTGGTGTTCAGGGGCTCCATGAGGTGGTAGCACAGCTAATAGCTGTGGCAGGTGCTCAGTCTCTCGCTTTGGGAAAACAGCTGTTGTAGAAATGTCAATCTGGACAGAAGGCTGATATAGAAGTTTAGAATATACATCATGTTGCAACTTTTGCATATTTATTGCTCAGCTGTTTAATCTGTTCAAACTGTATTGTCTGTGTTCTTTTGGATCATTGCATAAATTCTCAAATTTCTTCAAAGACAGATTTGCGCATATACACTGTTAGTAAATGAGGCCCAATATCCCAGAAGTTTGACTTGATGGTATACTATTTTAAAAAGTGTTCAGTTAATTTTTTTCAGCAACGTATAAAGCCCTAATTGTCTTTTCTTATTGTTGTCAAGCCTACTACACTGATGTCCCCAAGATCATATATGCAACGAGGACACATTCTCAGCTTACACAGGTTATTAATGAGTTAAAGAACACTTCGTACAGGTAAGCATTTCTAACTTTTTGATCATGCATGATTGTCTGAATGACAGCTATTCACAATATAAAACAACATTTCTAATAGGTTTTGTGATCATGGTGTAATGAGGACACCAAACCCCTACTGTTAGTATATACTAGGGAGATACAAATTTTAATTACCAGGTTTACAGTATACATTTTAGTATAGCTGAATTTGATCCTGGAATGGTACAATAGCTACCGTTTTTATTTTGTTTTGTTGTGTAATGAGTTCAGTTTCACAAAAAAACACTCAGGCCTGATAACTGAAACCTAATAACAGAATGTATCTGACAAAGTTTAACAGGCTAAAAGATCTCAAAAAGCAACACACAAGTCCCAATTAACCAAATACTACTGGTGCTTTAAAGGGTTATTACATAAGCTATAATCATTTTGAAGTCTTACTGAGTGCAGCACCTTTTGTCTGTTCTGTTTTTTTTGGCTATTTGTGGTAAACCAGTTCTCCCATGTCTCTTTCGATTCAGCCCAAAGGTGTGTGTGATGGGCTCAAGAGAGCAGTTGTGTATTAACCAGGACGTCATGTGTCAGAAGAGCAACCACGTCAAAGTAAGTTATAAAGGCAATATTAGAGATATAAATATAATGGGATGTTTTAACTGCTATGTCTAATGAATTGTTTTAAACACAAAACAGTGAATTTCTTCAAGCTCACTGCTGAAAAAAAGGAGGAAAATCTACTTAAAGTTTGACTACATTCACAAAGAACAAAAATCAGTTGTGCCAACTGTATTCTATTGGACTTCCACTCGAAACAGTAACTTCATCCTTGTTCTGGTCAACCGCCAACAGTAGCATTATAAAATCAGTTCTCCACCTGCTGCAGGTTCTGGTTGGTGTGGTGCCTTCAGTGTGCATTAGATCTCAGGAACACAAGCACTACTATCGCCCGCTCTAGTTCAAGACGGTGGAGCTTTGTTATATCTGAGAGCAAGATGGATGAATTCCTCATTTTTGTGGAAGCAGCTCAATGAAACCAACGGCCACCACACCAGCCCCTTTACATGAATTCCAAATCCTGCTCCTCACATACAAGGTCTTAAATAATCAGGCCCCATCTTATCTTAATGACCTTGTAGTACCATATCACCCTATTAGAG